GATTTGACGGTACACGTAAAAATAATACAATAAAACAAAAACAAAAACCTGTCCCTTGGAAATTGCAATGTGGGACATTCTACTTGCACTGTCCTATGAGGCTGAAGTCAGCAGCACCCTTTAGTTCTAGGTCCCATTTTCTTCCCTTCCCATCCCATCTATTGAAGGCAACTAGAGAACTCATGATCCTTCTAAGGGAAGGAGAGGTTCCTCTAAGGGGAGATCTCACCAGTCCTGTTTGTCCTCAGTGCAGCCCTTCCACTTGTAGACTGTCTGTCTTGCAGGGGGATCCCCTGTGTCTTTATCACCTTTATCCCGGCCATGTGCAGCTCTGCTGATTCATTTCTGCTTGAACAAATCAATGCCTCCTCTAAATGAAAACAAAACAAAACAAAACAAACCCAAAACCCAAACCCAACCCCCAAAAAACCTCAAAAAGCAAATTCATTCTAGAATTTGCCAGTTGTGTGATCTTTATTTGTAAACTGGGCATGAAAGTAGTACCTATTGCCTAGAGATCTGGTTAAGATTACATGATTTTGTATGTGTATTTAGAATTGTGTCTAATCGTCACGCTTATTTAATAGTACTGTGGCATGTATATTTGGTTGTAAATGTTGATATTAAACACTGATTAAATATTTATCTTGTTTGCTAGAAACATTTGTGAGGACATACCCTTGAGAGATTATTTTCCATTATATCCCAGAAATCTAGCTTGGTGCCTGATATATAACATTCAAACTAAAAATAAGTACACTTTGTTGTTGTTCGGCCTCATAGTGACCTTTCATGAGGTTTTAACTGCAGTGGAAGACCACTGCCTGGGAGCCATGCAGCCTTTGGCCAAACAGTACACCTGGCCACAGACTATGTCTCCAGAATTCCATAAGTACTTGTTAAATGTTTTTTTAAAAAAAACCAACCAAATAAATCATATATTGCTTATCATTTGTATAGAGAGGGATGTTTCTCCTTCCTGTTCTTCTTCAATTTTGTTTTCTATAAAATAAGTGATCATAGCCATAATTTATTATGATCCACAAAGTAAAATAACTTTGCATAGTCAATAAAACAAAAAGAGACATTTTCTGTTTTTCATTACTTTCAGTCAGAATCCATCTGACATCAGCAGTAACATTTTTGATTCCATGGCCTCTTCTAAATCCAGCTTGAACTTCTCTTAGTTCTTTGTCTGTGTACTGTTTTAGCCAATTTTGGATGATCTCAGCAGTATTTTGCTTGCATATGATATGAGGTTGTTTGATAATTTCCACATTCTGTTGACTCACCTTTCATAGGAAGGAGAACAAATACGGATCTCTTCAGTTCATTATGCATCTGTCCTCCAAATGTTCTGATATAGACTAGTGAGGAAGTCCAGGGCTGCATCTATTAGTTAAAACTTGTCAGTTGGTATCCCATTGATTTCTGGGGATCTATTTTTTGCCATTGCCTTCAGGGCAAGTTGTACTTCTTCCCTCGTTACCTTTGACTTTTGATCATATGGTACTTACTGTAATATTGCAGGGTAGGCCAGTTCTTTTTGGTGACTCTGTGTATTCCCTCCATCTTCTTTGTTTCTCCCCTCCCCCCAATCTTCTTTTAATGCTTCCTGGGTCATTGAGTATTTTGTCTATAATGTGTACATTTTGCAACTTGAGACTTGAATTTGTTTTTCAATTCTTTAAGCTTGAAAAATTGTGAGTTCTTCCCTCTTTATTCTCCAATTCTAACTGCACATGCTGTTAATATTTGCTATCTTCTCTAGCTGCCCTTTGAGATCTTCTCTTCATCTCTTTTACTTCAGCATCTTTTCCCTTTATTTTGTTTTCTCAATGCTCTAGTGCAGTTTTTGTAGTCTTTTCTGACATCCATTTTTGTTTTTCTTTTTCCTCTGTCTTTGTAGTGACTTTTTGTTCTCTCCGTGGATGATATTCTTGATGTCATCCCACAACTCATCTCATCTGCAATCATTGGTGTTCAATGTCTCAAATCTATTTCTTTTTTTTGGCTGAGTACAGTGTACTTCCAAATTTGAGGGCTCAGCCTCAGTTGCCATATCTGTTAGTCTACTGTAAGTGTGCTCTACTGTACATAAGAATTTTTGAAGGCCCTGTTATATTTTGGAAGTAGAGAGCCAGTCCTTCTTTAGAGTCTGTCTTAATTTGGATGCTTAGAACAGTATTTCAGAACAGTATCTGACAAGCATTTTATGAAAGACTCTTCCGTTATAAACCAGAAATAACCAATTAATTCACTATCTGCCATGCGCCCTCCCCCCCCGCCCCCCCAGCATGTGTGTCTTCTCTCTTCCCTTTCTCTGCTACATCACCATTCCTTGCACTCTTTCCTACCTGATCATAGTTCAAAATCAGGAAAGGAGTACATCAGGGATGCATCCTGTCTCCATAACTTTTCATTCTATATGCAGAGCAGATCATTCTGGAAGCAGGGCTTTATGAGGAGGAATGTAGGTGGCATCAGAATTGGAGGAGGACTCATCATCAACCTATGTTATGCATATGACACAACCTTGCTTGCTGAAACTGAGAAGGACCTGAAACACTTGCTGCAGAAGGACAAGGACTGTAGTCTTCAATAGGGATTGAAAATTCAGCATCAAGAAAACAAAGATTTTAACCACTGGACTAAACGACAGCACCATGATAGAGAAGGAATTGAGATTGTTAATAATTATAGCTTGCTTGGCTCCACAATCAACATAAACACCAGCGGTCAGAAAATTACAAGATGAATTGCATTGGGAAAATCTCCTGTTAGGAACCTCTCCAGAGTACTGAGAAGAAACGATGTCAGTCTAGAGACTAAGGAGTGCCTAATCCAGGCCATGGTCTTCACAATTACTTGCTATGCATCAGAGAGCTGGACAATGACTAAGGATTCAGAAGAATAATTGATGCTTTCAAATTGTGGTGCTGGAGTCAGGGTCTTGAGTATACCATGGACTGCCAAGAAAACAAATAGATCTGTCTTGGAGAGGGTAAAACCAAGTCTTTCCGTGGAGGCTAGGATTTTGAAGCTCCACCTCACGTATTTTGGGCACGTGGCCAGGAGAGATCAGTCCTTGGAAATGGCCATCATACTAGGGAAGGTGGAGGGACAGTGCAGGAGAGGAAGAGCCCAGTGAGATGCACTGATATAGTAACTGGGGCAATAGGGGTTGGTGTTTTGGAATTAGTGAGACTAGTTAAAGACAGGGCCAGGTTCACATCTGCTGTACATAGGGTTGCACACAACTTGACAGCACATAATAACAACAACAACAACAACAAGAACATATTTATTGATGGTACCTGACAAGGTGAACTCTCTAAGGCCCATAGGGGTTTTTCAGGGGGACTGAATGGAAACTGTATCAAGAATGTGAGATTCTCAGTGTGTTGGGGAATTGAGTTGGGGCAAGGACTCCTCAGGAGATCAGGTTGTATTGTGTTGGGAAAGTCTGTAGTCTGTTATTTTTCCAAATTATTAGGAGATCACTTGAGATTTATTGGATGATAGTTATTAAGAAACAAGTAAAACTTTGCCACATTAACTGTTAGAATGAAGACCAATCTCAGCAACCAGACTCTGAAGGGCCACACAGTTATCATGAAAGACCTGTAGGGCCTGCGGAGAACCTTGTGGAGGGACTTCTTCAGTCACATCAATGTAGAGCTCAATCTCCTTGGAAAGAAAAAAGAAGAGTCTTCTTGTTGACAAATGGTGGGGGAACAGGAAGGAATTGACTACTGTTGGCACCATCTGTAGCCATGTACAGAACATGATCAAGGGTGTTAAACTGAGCTTTTGTTACAAGATGAGGTCCGTGTATGCCTATTTCCCCATCAGCGTTGTGATGGATCTTATCAACGTTGAATGTGGATCTCTGGTTGAAATTTGAAACTTCTTGGGTGAAAAGTACTTTCGGAGAGTTCAAATGAAACCAAGTGTTGCTTGTTCAGTATCTCAAGCCCAGAAAGATGAGTTAATTCTTGAAGAAAATGACATTGAGTTTGTATCAAATTCAACCTACAACAGTTAAAAACAAGGATATCTGAAAATTTTTGGATGGTATCTATGTCTCCGAAAAAGGAACTGTCCAGCAGACTGATGAGTGATAGCTAGTTTTCCAGCTACAGAAAATGAGGTCGATCAAGTCCTATGCATCTGATTTCAAAATGCATCTGGTTCTTGTCATAAAATTATATTAATTGGAAAAAAAAGAAACAAAAAAAAGTATTGATGGAAAAGACTTGTTTCCTTTTCTAATTCTCCAAATTATTGAGGAGCAGTGATGTTAGATTGCAGACTAAGGTGTGCCTGATTTACGCCGTTGATCTTTTCAGTCACTTGCTGTCCTCTGAAAGCAAGAAAATGAATAAGGATGAGACAGAAAGAATTGATATCTTTGAGTTGTAGTTTGGGAGAACAGTACTAAATATCTCATGGACTGTGTTAAGAACAAACATCTTTTTAAAAAAAATTTGTTAGCCAGAAAATATGTAGCCAAAGGGCTCCTTAGAGGCAAAGATGACAAAGCTTCATCTCACATACTTTGGACATGTTGTTAAGAGATGCTATTCCTTGGAGAAGGCATCATGCTTTGGAAAGGTGAAGGGTCATCAAGAGAGAGGAAGACCTCCTGCTAAAAGAATTAACAGTGACTGTTGCAATGGGGTCACATATGTCAGAAATTTATGAGGGTGGCACAGGATCAGACAGGGTTTAGATCTGTTGTTTTTAGGCCTGCCACAAGTTGTACTCGAAAATACCTAATAACAATATTAAATAAAAATTAATATGTTTTTAGATGAAAAATACATTGGTATATAGCTACTTAAAATATTTACTGGAATTGATCAGCAGTATTCAAGGGAATAATTGTGATTATATTGTAAATTTTATAGTAATCAACTGGTTTGACCAGTTATACTGGGAACAAATATCTACATTTCTTGCTCTCATTAAATTTGATCTATGTTTCTTTTTTCTAGGGAATCCAGCAAGGCATTATTGAGGGAGAGTTTGCTACTTGTATTAGTTTATATCATGGTTATGAATTGCTGCAGCAAATGGGAATGAGATCTTTATATTTATTCCTTTGTGGAATTATGGACGGGACTAGAGGTAAAGTGTTTATGGTTATTTTTTTATTTTCTTTTCTTATTATTTTGTGTGTGTGTGTCTGTCAAATCGGATCTGACTGGTAAAGGAGGAGATTGTCCTCTGTTCCTGGCAGAGCATCTAGTGGATTTGAACCGTGCGCCTCTGGGATTGCAGTGCAGCTTCTTGCCACTAGGCCACCAGAGCTCCCCTATGATTATTTTAAGAAATGTTAACATAGAATTTTTTGGTTAAAGACACATAATGAACATGTTTGGAAAAATATTACTTTTTTTTGTACTTTTTAAAAAACTTTTTATTGTGTTTTGTGTGAAAGTTTAGAAAACAAATTGGTTTTCATTCAATCATCCATACAGATTTTTTTTCTGTGATATTATTATGGTGTCATTGTAACAACAACCTTCTAGGGAGCTTTGGTGGCCTAGTGGTTAAGGAATTGTGCCAAACCAAAGGCAGGCAGTTTGAACCAACCAGCTACTTTAAGAGAAAAGGATAGGCAATCCCTGGTGGCTTAGTGTTAAGGAGTTGTGCTGCCAACCCTAAGACGTACATTTCAAATCCACCAGCTACTTCATGGGAAAAAGATGGCATTCTCCTTTCATGCAGTTTACTGTTTCTGAAAACCCACTGGAGGGTTAGCTATGAGTTGGTTTCAACTCAGTAGTCCATAACAGCAATATTTTTAATTAGCCTTGAAAGGAAAATACTTACCAAATTAAAACCTTTTTATATTGTAAAAGGCATTGAATACCTGTTTGGTTGTTAAAATAGGAAGATAAATTGGAAAGCATTTGAATGACATTTTGTCTGCTCCTGTACATATTCCAGGGAAACCATATGTTGCAGTTCGGCTCTGTCATATGTGTTAGCTATGAGTTGGAATCAACTTTGAGAATACAACATTCTAAAATGATACCAAATTATTTTCATAAATTATGTTGTAATAGTTCTCATCACTTTGCTGTGATATCTCTTCTAATTTTTTAGAATAAAATTTTATTTTAGTTATCATTTTAACAAATATTTACAGAGAAGTTAGATTTTCTATTTATTTTGCACATTTTACCCCCTCTCTCTTCCTTCCCCCTCCTCAGTTCACTTTTTTAAAAAAATATTCATTCATTGTTGTACAGTTCCCTACCCCTACCAGCCCCCAGTCATCTTTGCAATGATGTACCTGTTATTCTGGGCTATTGTCATATGTATAATGCCTAATCATACATTCCTTTTAAGCAATTCTTTCCTTTATCTGTTCCAACGCAATGGCCATTCTCTATCCATTCTTATCCTCTTCTCCTCCTAACCCCCCATGCCAGACCTGCTTTTTAACAGTAGTGCTATGCAGTGTTTATCCTTTTGAGGCTCAGCTTAGTGTCCTCCAGGATCACCCATGTTGTGTAATGTTTTATAAGTTGGTTGTTTTTCACTACTGTGTAGTATTCTATTGAGTGAATATACCATAGTTTTTCTATCCATTCATCTGTTGATTGGCACTTGGGTTGCTTCCATCTCTTTGTTATTATAGATTACGCAGCAATAAACATAGGTATGCATATATCTGGATCGTGGTTCTGGTTTCTTTATTTCCAGTATTGGAATTGCTGGGTGTAATGGTATTTCTATATTCAGCTTTTTAAGAAAGGGTCAAACTGCCTTCCATAGTGGTTGCACCATTTTACACTCCCACTTGCAGTAAATTAAGGTTTTCAATCTCTCCACAGTCTAGCCAACATTTATATTTGCTGCTCTGTTAAACTTTGCTAATGTTATTGGGGTGAGATATATCATAGTTGTTGGGAAAATGGTTTATTACTTTTAAGAAAGCAATGGAATAATTGTCATAAATGGCATTGTTTATTTGTTTTTATAGATTTTAATTAGAACGAAAGCCATCCATTAATATCTATGTGTGTACAGAACTGAAAAATAGTTATTAATGTTAGTATTTCAATTGAGAAAAATTGTATATATTGCTAAAATGTAGTATTTTAATCAATACCGTTGTTTAGCTGTTAAGTTTACTTATTTGGAAAATATTTTTTTTAATTTATAAAGGAATGACTCGAGCGAAAAATCAACTTAACCGAAATGAAGACTTTGTGAAACTCTTTGATCATCTGGAATGTCTATTTGCACATACACACAATACAAATGGTATTTCCACTATCCCAAAAGGTCTGATTTCTCTTTTCAAATTGTATGTTGTTTCTCTTTATCAATATTGTTTCAGATAAATTTTGCTCCATTATTTCATAAATCTATTTTTAATTATTTATGTTTTTTAGAAACAGATTGGTTAAATGTTTCATTATTCTTTTGAAATATAATAATATAAATATAATAATAAATATAATAAAAATATAATAATAAAAACCTTTAAATATATAATAGATGACAAGAGTTGTGGTTACTGATTGTAACATTTTCAGAAGTATGAAAAACTGCTTTAAAACCTAACTAAATGTGTTTTAATGTTTCTTTTTAGTTTGTTACTAATTCCTTTCTTGATTCTCTCTAATTGGAATTTTTGTAAAACTCAAAGTTTATTTTGCAGTAAGTTTTTTGTGCTACCTAGATGCTATTTATTGTTGAACCTTAAAGAAAAGTATGTTTTAACACTGTGGAAGATAACTTACAATATATTTCTTGAGCATGAAAAAATAATGTATTTTTTTTTTCCAGGACATAAAGTTGGGGAGTTTTTCTATAGTCATCCAAAGTTAAAGAAATTAGAAGAAGTTGTAGTTGATCACTTCAAGTCATGGAATGGTAGGTCATGTTCATTTGTTTCAGGTTAAGATAGTTATTAAAAGAGGTAAAAATTCCCAATTTTTAGTTTGTGCTAACATTTCTCATAGAGAAGGTGGTCTTTTAATCATTCTGCATAAGGATTCTGTGAAAGCTCTTGAGAAATTTTGGGCAGAGGGGCAAAGAGAATGGTGAGAATGTTAAGAATAAGGTATTATGTGAAAAAGAAATGTTAAGTGTAGGACAGTATAGGGGAAATAGATGATGATGTTGTTAGGTGCTGTCAAGTTGAATATGACCCATTGCGAACCTATAAACAACAGATAATGAACCCTGCTCTATCCTGTGCCATGTTCATACTTCCTGACACACTAGGGTCTATTGTGGCAGTCACTGTGTCAGCCCACCTGGTTGAGGGTCATCCTCTCCTTTCTGAACATCATGGTCTTCTCCAAAGAACACGAATAATAAAGAGATAGTCATGGATCACTATTTCTTCAGATGGAAATATTAGAGAAAGCCTGTCTTTCAGATTGCGTTTGAGATAATACTTCATAAAAGTGAGGGAATAAGCTTTGTAGAGTTTTGTTGGAAAGAGATTCAATCAAGGCAGATAGAATTGCAGCTCTAAAGTCCCTGAGGTTGTAAGTACATGATGTGATTGTTTTTGTTGTTTACCGTTAAGTCAGAGCTGACCCATAGCTGACCCTCTGGTGGGTTTTCAGAGTTTTTTATTGCAATGGAGGACATTACTCATCTTTCTACCATGGACCAGCTGGTGGATTCCAACCATGTGCCTTTGATATTGCAGCACAGCTTCTTACCACTGAGCTACTAGAGCATCAGAGAATAATGTGATTAAGGACCATAAATAGGTCACTTGTTATTAGGTGCTGTCAATTCAGAACCAACTCATAGCTGACCCTCTAGTGGGTTTTTTAAAATCTCATGGGAAGGTACTCATTCCATTTTTTCTCCTGCAGAGTAGCTTATAGATTTGAACTGCTTCTCTTTAGCTTTGCAAGCAGCGCTCCTTACTACTAGGCCACTAGAGCTTCCAAACAAGACAATAGTTGTTGCAAATGGTCACGTGCTCAGCTGCTTGCCATAAAATTGATTGAATCTATCTAGATGTACTTTGGAAAAAAATGGTTGGTGATCTCTTCCAAAAACTTAACTATTGTAGAGTACAAGTTTGTTTTGATACACATAGGATGACCATGAGGTAGGATTGGTTTGATATGATTAAATAGGTGAGTGTATTAACAGTATGAATTAGGGTACAGGAGAAATTGAAAGGTAACCCGATGCTAGAGCTATTTGTAGACTATGTATGTTTGTGCTTCATGTAACTTTATACAGCATGAGTTATACAGCATTAGAGTGAGATGATCTGACTTAGAGCTTTATGTGATCACTGGTAATTTTGCCGAATGTTAGACGGACCACTGAAGAATCTATTCTATTAGTCCAGGATGATGGCCCAATGATGATAGCTTGCATGAAAGTTAGATATATTTTGGTGCTGGGAAAATACTTACTGATTGATTAGAGAGCATGAAGGGAAACAAGGAACCTTATGGGTATGTATATGTGTGTGTTTGCAGATGATTATATTAGCAAAACAAATGTTAAGTAGCACATATACATAAGAGAAAAACATGTTAAAATGCTTTTAAGTTATCTTAGTGGACTGTTTATGTTGTGGATTAGGACTTCTAGTGTTGTTCCTAGCTTTTCTGTAATGAATTTTATAGTCCTTGGTTTTAGTCCTAGGTCCATGA